AACCGGAAGTTGACCATAACTTCATTAATATTGGAGATAAATATGTCGTGTTTGTACTCATTTTAAAGGATTTTTAATGAAGATTACAAATACGTCAAAGTTGAGGTTGACATTTTAAACCTGAAGTTAGTTATCATATAATAGACAAATGGACAACATCATGGTGTTATTTCATGACGTATTCTTTATTAAAAAAACGTTTAAAATGAGTCCAAACAAGACGCACTTATCTCAAAAAACAAAAAAGTTAGAATAAAAAACATTAAACCCGAAGTTAACAACAATGAAGATAGCAATTTAATTTTTAAATATTAATACCAACCTTAATTTTTTATTTTTTTATTATATTTTTGTTTTTGTGACAAATATTAAGACATTTTATAAAAATTAAGAATATGTCAAAATGACGTTGACATTTCAAACCGGAAGTTGACCATAACTTCATTAATATTGGAGATAAATATATCGTGTTTGTACTCATTTTAAAGGATTTTTAATGAAGATTACAAATACGTCAAAGTTGAGGTTGATATTTTAAACCTGAAGTTAGTTATCATATAATAGACAAATAAACAACTTCATGGTGTTATTTCATGATGTATTCTTTATTAAAAAAAACCTTTAAAATGGGTCCGAACAAGACTGAAGACGCACGGCTAAACCCGAATGTTTCTAGTTCTCGGTCTAGTGTTAGCTCTAGTTTTATACTAGCACTATAATAACTATACGATATTTAATAACTAGAACTGCATTCATATATTGCGACTTATATGAAATTCCGTAGAAAATTCCTAAATTATATAGATTGTAAATGTTATTAGATATCAAAAATTAATCGATTTCATTTTATGTTTTTAACAATTATTGTTTAATATAAATGAAATATTTTTACTGTAGCAAATTGTGTGTTTTAACTGATTTATTAAAAATAACATAATACTCCTATATATTAATACGGACCTAATGTCATAAAATTTATGACACGCGCCCGCTCGTGTTACAAAATCGGGCTCAAATGTTAACTTTGTTTCGATATCTTCCCAGATCTCTTAATATTGAAAACTTTTTCTATTCAAGGTCCTAAATGGCAATATAGACGTAAAGTCNATGGCAATATAGACGTAAAGTTTTAACACCGACATTCCATTTTAACATTTTACAAGAATTCACAGACGTCTTTATCGACGAAGGTAAAAAATTGGTTCAAGATTTGAAATTAAACGCAAATAAAGTAATAGATGTGGTCCCGATCGTGACACAATTCACGTTACAAACGATTTGTGAAACAGCTATGGGAACAACTTTGGCTAAATCCGGCGATGCTTATCGAGATTCGATTTATAAGTAAGATTTATTTCCAAATAATTACTTAAATTAGTAATTTTTCTTTTTAGAATGGGTGAATTAACAGTGCATAGAATAGTTAGACCGTGGTACTATTCACCTTTAATTTATATATTTTCACGACAATTTTGGGAATCTTGGATTACCACGAATTATCTTCACAAATTTACCATGAAAGTAATCAAAGACCGAGAAACAACATTTAATCCATCGGATATTACCTCTACGAAGGATGGTTTTCAATTGAATACTAAGAAAAAAATGGCTATGCTTGATTTACTTTTATCGGCAAAACGATCCGGATCTGCCATCAATGATAAAGGAATTCAAGAAGAAGTTGACACCTTTATGTTTGAGGTATACACAAAAATGATATATACAAAAATCTATCTTTTTTCATTTAAGGGCCACGACACAACAGCAACCAGCATTTCATTTACATTCATGCTTCTCGCCAACAATAAAGACGTTCAGCAAAAAATATTTGAAGAGCTTTACGATATTTTCGGCGATGATTCCGATCGGGATATAACGATGAACGATTTAAGCCAAATGAAATACTTGGAGCGAGTTATAAAAGAATCTTTGCGATTGTATCCGAGCGTTCCTATGATTGGACGTTGTACAAGCGAGGATATGGTGACCAGTACGGGATGTAAAATTCCAAAAGATGTGATTGTGATGGTGAGGATTTATGACATCCATAGGAATCCGGAAATTTATCCGGATCCGGAAAAATTCGATCCAGATCGGTTTTTACCCGAAAATTCTAAAGGAAGACATCCGTTTGCTTATATACCATTCAGTGCCGGACCCAGGAACTGCATAGGTTCGATTTTGTCTTGTTCTAAAATACAAAAAATAAAATAATTAAATTATTTTAGGCCAAAAATTTGCAATGTTGGAATTAAAAACCGCAGTTGCTTCTGTAATGAGACATTTTCAATTAGAACCGGTTGATACACCGGATACCATCAAACTTCAAACCGATATAATTATCAGGACAACCCATGGGTTGAAAATGAAGTTTATACCGAGGAAATTATAAATATATATACATATATATAATATTTATAAGGTTCCTATCACTAATTTTTAAGTAGCCTATTGCGAAATAAAGTCTGTACATAAAACTGATTAATTTTTAAATGTTTTCAACTCAACCCAACCCGAAATACCTAAACGAATAGAGAATTTAATCCAAATAATCGCTGACTGACTAAGGTTATTGATTGATTGATATTATTAAAAGAGACACATGTTAGAATATGAGCATTAGCTCTTCTTCTCCAATCTCTTTGTTAATTAACTATTATTCCAGTACTATCTATTATCTGTTGTTATTTTATTATTGCTTTGCTCTGTGGTGATTTAGTTGGATCAACAAAATTCACAAATAAACTCAGAAAACTGTGAATATAACAAAAAAAAAACAAATAAAATTTTATACAAAAAGTTGTTTGACTCATCATTTTCTATTACGTAAAATTATTTTCACTTATACAGGCTGTTCCATTTAAGCGTAGCGCTGAGTATGTAAATTTATTTAAATGGAACACCTGTATATTTTATGGTATTATGAATACAACTAAATTTGTTTATACAAACGTATATATTACTATTTCACAGCGTTCATAGTTCCTCAGATATTCAACTGTTCTTCCAAAATGTACCCATTACAGGATCTTTTTAAAAACGATGTAAAATCGACATTTTTTCCGATTTTTCCTTGAAACTACGTCAGACAATAGTCAAAGCCAGTAGGTAGATGATAGTATTCAAAGATATTAGATACACTATACAGGCTGTTTATAAAGCTTAATTATAAGCTTAATTATTTTTTGATGTTTTTCAAATGGTTTTTTCTTAAGTTTTTTCAATGGAACACCCTGTATATTGTGTGCTGGTTGAATTGCTCATCAAGTTCCCTTTAATTAATGATAAGTATGTCATATGTCTAACTAATAGTTTTCCAGATATTTAGAATTTAAGTCCGCTCTGTATGTTATAAATCATCCTGTATATACAGGTGTCTCAGCGAGACCGTTCATTAGACGGTTATACCGGAAGTCGCCACCTACTTAATTTTTTTAAATGGAACACCTATATACAGTGTGTTAATTAATTATCATACCAGAAGTCATCATTACAAGTATGCAACCAACATCACAGTATTGGTTTTGAAATACGCGATTTGCGTATTTGGTTGCATACTTGCATGATGACGTCGGGTACGATAATTAATTAACACACTGTATTTTTACATATTTGTATTTGTCTATTTTCAAGGTTTATGAATAACTTCATATTTTACTCATTTTACATATTTTATACTCCATATGCCCTCTACATAACATTAATAGTTTGAGAAATAATTAGGGTTTTTTGAAAAATGCACACATTTCATTTCCATCTTTCCCAAATTTTTCTTCTCTCCTCCAAAAACAACTCATTTACTTCTATCTTATTATTTATCCTTCCCTTGACCCTTATCATGACCCTCTCTTGCTAAAGTATCAGCACATTCGTTTCCCAATATAACATAATAACCCTGTAGGTATCCAACATATGTACATACTTTTGTCATCCATAAATGCCTCATACAATTCCTCAATGACCTTGAGTAAGAAATGGTGACCCTTCAAATTAGCTTTGTATTCTCCAAGGACTACAATTGCGCTTAAAGAGTCCGTAAAGATTATCGAGTTCTCTTTATTTAATATTCTAATCCTTCTAACAGCTGTTAAAATCGCAAATAATTCAACTCCACAAATAGTACAGTTCACTTTCAAGTCTTCTCAAAAAATTCCACAAGTTACTCTTTTAGGGTGTTCTCTCAAGGAGCCATCATTATTGATATGAGAAGCATTATGCCATTTTTTTACTTATAAATTCCTCAAACTCTTCATTTATGTTATTTTTATATTGATATACTATTTCTTTAGGAATTCGTGTTGGTATCTTGCTGTCATTGGTCTAAAATGTTTTATGCCATAATTTATTCTAAATATATCAGGCATCTTGTATGAGTTTATTTCTTTACTCCTTTCTTCTATCCTTGCTAATATCTTTATGGTTAAGGGTTTTCAAGGGATCCAAATTTTCAGTTTTAATCCTCCCAAAAGTTAATCGGTATGTTCTGTAACATATTCTGTCCAATTTCAACATTTGACTTTTTGTTGTTGGTAACTATATCAACTGGGTCAGTACCCCACTTTGCTGAAACCAATTGCCAATAATTTAATGTCCATTTGTAATATTTTTACTAGCTTCAATGATTTGATTTTTCCATGAGAGTTTACAGTTATAATATCTACCTAAGTATCTTACATTGTCTGTATATTCAATCACAGCTCCTTCATAATATATTGGATCTAGTTATATGCCTTTCTCTAGAGAATATCATAGCCTTAGTTTTTTCTGTGGCCAATGTTAACACTTTAGTAGCTTCATTAAGTTGGTATATGCAGCTTTCTTCCTCTTTTGCACCTGCATAAATTGCTATATCATCTGCATAATATATAGCAGTAGCATTCTTCAATATCTCTCTAAGCCCTCTAACATAAACGTTAAACGATACTGTACTTATTGTACTACCCTGAGGTAATCCTCTGTACTTGGTTTTGAAACTTAGACGTTATTCTTCTACTCTAGGATTTTAACTGCTGTTAATTTATGTATTACACTCATTAACGTATTTGGTACTTTATGATCATTCAGAATATTCATCAATTTAGCTATAAATATGCGTCCTTCAAATCTAGAAACATTGCTCCCACTGAGTGTTTTGTAAAAAAAGCTAATTGTATATTTGTTGTTAGGAATGTGTTTGCATGCATTACTCCTTTATCCTTTCTAAATCCAAATTGTGTTTACTCCAGCACCTTGCTATGCTCTAACCACCATTCTAATCGATTAGTGATAATTTTCTCAAAGACTTTTCTAATACACATTGGTCTCTAGCTTTCCGCCTTATTAGTTTTTTTTTCCAGTTTTAAAAGTAGGTGCAATCATGGAGACTTCCCGTGCTTTCGGTTATGAAAATAATTGAATATGTTATGGTATCATTTCGGTTTCATTTGAATTCTTCTAAACTTATGGGGTCTATTATGTCTAATTGTTTATGTCGATTGAATATTTTGTATTCAGGACTTTTCTCTCTTCTGGTACATACATAGAACACAAGTTATTCAAAAACTCTGATGACCACTCATAATCATTATACAATTCATTCTTACTACAGGAATACATTTTGTGTTTTGACAATTTCTAACTGTCAATTCAAATTTCTATTTTCAATTGTTACGGTATTACCAACTGCTACATACCTATTTCCCTACATTGTCAAAACTTATTTTATTTTGTTAAAAAAAAAGGATAAAAACGCGAATTACAAAAAACAGCATAAAAACACGTTTCATAAGACTTAAAACACTCATTTAGCGTTTTTAAACTTGAATTCGTGCATTTCAAGCGTATTTTACGAAACTAGTTTTTTAATGTACTATTTTGTCAAAGGAATATGTCTTTTAGCTATGAAATACCTTATTAATGTTTTATCTTTCATAAATAATCTAATTACAAATATTGGATAAAAATTCTTTTCTTTCTTCGTCTTATGTTGTTTTATTTCACCTTTATTCACTACCTTTTCTAATATTTGTAGTAATTGACCGTACTCGATTATTTCTTCGCCTAATTTATTATGAATATATTATGAATATATACTTTCTACCATTCGTTTTAAATATATTAATTGATTTTAATTTCCTATATTGGGACTAAGGTTATGTTTATTGTCAAAGTTTGACAGTAAACTGTAAACTAACCTCAATACACCTCAACAGATGACGCAACAAAATGTTCTTTTCTTGGGGTTCTAAGTTATGGCGTTCTAGGTTATATTGTTTCCATACAATTATCCTTCTACACTTTCTATAGTTTTAAATTTATTAATTGTATTTTAATTTTCTATATTGGGACTAAGGTTATGTTTATTGTCAAAGTTTGATAGTAAACTGTAAACTAACCTCAATACACTTCAATAGATGATGCAATTAAACGTTCTAGGGGTTCTAGATTATGTCGTTCTAGGTTATATTGTTTCTATACAATCATCCTTACACACTTTCTACCATTAGTTTTAAATTTATTAATTGTATTTTAATTTCCTATATTGGGACTAAAGTTATGTTTATTGTCAAAGTTTGACAGTAAACTGTAAACTAACCTCAATACACTTCAATAGATGATGCAATTAAACGTTGTAGGGGTTGTAGATTATGTCTTCTAAGTTATATTGTTTTCATACAATTATCCTTCTACACTTTCTATCATTAGTTTTAAATTTATTAATTGTATTTTAATTTCCTACATTGGGACTAAAGTTATGTTTATTGTCAAAGTTTGACAGTAAACTGTAAACTAACCTCAATACACCTCAATAGATGACGCAACAAAACGGGACTTTATTCTGGGCGATTCTAGGTTATGTCGTTAACGTTATACAAATCTAATTGTAAAATGTAAAAATCTGACAACAAATATAAAATTACACAATCATGTCGCTATTTCCCGCATTTTCTGATGCAAATGCTAAAGAGAAGCAAGAAAAAGACGATAATAACGATGAAAACTGGTTAAAAAATTCGAGTTTTAAAGTAGATATTTCAAAATTAAGTTTGTTAGTAAACAATGAAGGAGAAAATAAAAATATTAAAGATAAAGACCCCACAAAAAGAAATAAGTCTTCTCAGAGAAAAGAAGAATCATCTAAGAAGCATAAAAAAAAGAAAACTGAAGAAAACCCAGAAAACTTAATAACAAAATCTGATGAATTTGTAATTGATAAAACCTCAACGAAGGAATATTTTAGTGTTAATACAATTTCAAGACCGGCAGTGCCTAAGTATGATAGGAAATATTCAATGTTTAAAAAAAATCGTTTCAATAACAAACGATATAAACGATACTTTAAACTAAAACTTTTTGGTGAAGAAATTAAAGATAATGCAATAAAAAAAGGAGATTTAGACAAAAAAATTGAGATTAAAAAGAATGAAAGTATTTCTGGATTTAGTGAAGAAATAAATTTAACCAAAACAACACAAGAATATAACCAAAAACTGTCCCAAAATCCTTTAGATGTACAAACTTGGATTGATTACGTGCAATTTCAAGATACAGTTTATAATTTTGAGAAATGTAATAAAAAAGGTAGCATTGCAAAGGTTAAGAAATTAAAAGTTAATTGTTTAATTAATTTAATTAATGCTTATTTATTTTAATAGGGAAATCGTGTAACTGCCGATAGAAAGCTTTCAATCCTCGATAAAGCTTTAACCCATCTTCCAAATAACGAAAAACTCCAACGAGAACGCTTAAACGTTTGTGTGAACGCATTCCCATCGGATGAACTCAACATACATTTAGAAAAAATGGTGGAAAAAGAACAAAGCAACATAATTTTATGGCAAGGTTATATAGAATCAAAGCAATGTTCCATGTCTCATTGTAACACCCCAACAGTCCTAAAATTATACACCAAATGTCTTTCGACTTTACACCAATTACGTCGAACTGCTAAAGTTGAAAAATCAATTCTCGAAGAGAACATTTTAAGGATGTTGTATCAATGTGGTTTATTTTTAAAACAAAGCGGTTTATTCGAACAGTTATGGACGTTATTACGGATGTATTTAAATTTGAATTTATCTCATCAAGAGAAAAGTAATATTTTTAACGGAATTGGAAACGGAAGTGTTAACGATCGGGAATTATTAAAACTCGAAGAGATCGTTTTAAATTCTAAATTACCTCTGCACGAACTTTGGTTGAGAATTGAAAAATTACGCGAAGCTTGTCATTGGGTACCTTTTAGCGGAGATGAAAATTGCGAAGATCCACAAAGGATGGTTTTTGTGGAGGATGTGAACGAGTTAATTCATCCAATTACGATGCCTGGGAATACTTTTAAAATGACTGCGATTAGTTTAACTTTATTAAAGGTAAATATTAAGATATTTATGTTAAATTGTTTATTAGAGGTTATGTTTGATTTGGTGTTAAATGGGTTGCCTATTATAAAATGACATAACCTTAAAAAAAATATTTTTTTGAGGTTATAAACATAGCGTTAGTTTACAAATTTTAATCGATTTTTTCCTCGAAGTCTGCGGTATTTTTTTTTTTATAACATAGAATGTTGAGCTGATTCTGAAACTGTCTTCAGGTTTTCTCCATCACGACCAGTTTTCGAGATTTTCCCAAAAATGTGGAAAATTGTAACTTAAAAAACATAATAACGGTTAATGTTCAGTATATTTTTTATTTTGCATAGTGTGTTTCTGTTATAAGGTTATCCAAGTCGAATAAATTTACGTTGACGGGGTGAAGTAGGAAATGTGACGTCATTGGAGGAAAAATATAATACATATAATATTAATATAAATATATTTGTCCACGACTACCTTATAATTTATAATATATACCTTATAAATGAGCTTGAATAATCATTATTCATGAGTAGTCAACTTGACAGACTAATAATAATTATTTGAAACGTCAAAATTTTAAAAAACGTCAAGTTAATTTAATTTTTTAGGACTTTCTAAAGGTTTGACATTAAAATAACCTAAACAAATTCTTTTTTTCGTATGATTTAAGCATAAATTAATTAATTTTCGTAAAAAAACATGAGGTCATGTAACGTTAAACACGTCATTTTGACGTTTAAATTTACAACACATTTTTCCTAAAATGGTACCAACTTAAATTTTTTGAAATCTTTTGATGAATTTCGAATATTTCTTGTCGATTTTTTTAATAACTGTTTTGATTTATATATATCTCGCTACTTCTAGTATATCAATAACATTCTTTACATTAAATTAACTGATCTTGGAGTATTTATCTTGGATTTAGGTTTTTAACGATTTTGACGTTTAATTGTCAAATTGACGTTTAAAAGTCAAATAATTGTGAATATTATTTACCTTTATGTATTAAATCAATATAACTTAACTCATTTGCATAATAAGCTCAGATATTTGAGGAACAACTAAAACTAAGGCATATATCAAGATTAGGAGTCTCTCTTAAAAATCGATGATTTTTTTTTTAATCGATAGGAAATGAGTCAAAAGAGGCGTAAATGATAAAAAAAAGTGNGAGTTAATTCATCCAATTACGATGCCTGGGAATACTTTTAAAATGACTGCGATTATTTTAACTTTATTAAAGGTAAATATTAAGATATTTCATTTAAATTGTTTATTAGAGGTTATGTTTGATTTGGTGTTAAATGGGTTGCCTATTATAAAATGATATAACCTTTAAAAAAATAAAATATATTTTTTTGAGGTTATAAAAATAACGTTAGTTTACAAATTTTAATCAATTTTTTCCTCGAAGACTATGGTATTTTTTTATAACGTAGAATGTTGAGCTGATTCTGAAACTGTCTTCAGGTTTTCTTCATCACGACCAGTTTTCGAGATATCCCCAAAAATGTGGAAAATTGTTAATTAAAAAACATAGTAAGGGTTAATGTTCAGTATATTTTTTATTTTGCATCATTTTGCATAGTGTTTCTATTATAATGTGGTTATCCAAGTCGAATAAATTGACGTTGACGAGGTGAGGTAGGAAACATGACGTCATTGGAGGAAAAATATATAATACATACTACATACATATAATATTAATATAATATTGGTCCACAACTACCTTATAAATGAGCTTGAATAATCATTATTCATGAGTAATCAAACTTGACTTTTAATAATAATTATCAAAATTTTAAAAAACGTCAAGTTAATTTAATTTTTATAGGACATTCTAAAGGTTTGACATTAAAAAATCGTAAACAAATTCCTTTTTTCGTATGATTTAAGCGTAAATTAAGTAATTTTCGTAAAAAAAATATGACGTTTCATAAAATTGACATTTAATTTTGACAAATTGATGTGAAGTTGGTTACAGTTGGTAAAATTGAATTTGTGTCACCTTGACGTTTAAACTTTATTCAAAAATTTATTTAATAGCTATTTATTGTGTAAGTGTTTTATTCACGCAAGAATGTTTAATTTTCTTAAGTGACTAAAATGCATCTAAAACACTCATGCAATACAACGTTTTATCCACAATCACACTCATTTAGAATTAGAAGTGTGTTATCAAAAATAATTTGACATTTCACTCTGACAGCGGCTGTCACCTCAAAAATCATTGCAATTAACTAAAAAAATATTCAGAGGTGTTGAATTGTTGCTATTTATTTTCGATTGTTTATCGACTCCATTTGTAACATATTTGTAAAAGTGTGAAAGTTGTAAAGGTAAAGTTGGTGAAAAATGGAAGAAAGTGACTATGTTCCCAAGATAATTCTTGAGGAAGCTGAAGAAGCAACTGTCCGATTATTGCCTGCAAAGTCCATTACGAAAAAGTATTTTCCGAGTTTAATGAATAGAAAGAAAAACGGGGGGTAATAACAATAAATGAGGAAATCTTGCTATCGTATTTCTTAAATTTGAAGAAGAGGTATGCAATTTCATCCGTGTGGTCGAAGTATTCGATGCTGAAAGCCGCTATAAAGGTCTATAAAAACATAGACATAGGAAAATATAGTAAGCTTATGGCCTATTTGAAGAATCAGTCAAGAGGATACAAGACGAAGAAATCTGCAGTATTGGAAAAAATACACTTCGAAGAGTTTTTGACAAGGGCTTGCGATAAAGAATATTTGATGATCAAGATAATCTCTCTTAACCTTTTGGATATTATATACATATAATAAATTTTAAAATATATTAGGTTGCACTAATAATGGGGGTGTCTGGTACTTGTCGATGCTGTGAACTGACTAACTGTACTAATCAAAAATGTACTTAACAACCTATTGGAATTAACACTTTGTCGAAAATTCCTTCAACAGTTGCTTCGTTTTTGAATCTGACAAATGCAAAAACTTATAGCGCCCATTGTATGAGGCGCACTTCAACAACTTTACTGGCCAATAAAGGTGCCGACCTTACAATAATTAAACGACATGGTGGGTGGAGGAACTCTGGCATAGCAGAAAGTTATATCGAGGATTCTATATGTAATAAGCTTGATATCGCAAGAAAAATCCAAGGTTCTACTGGTACTAGTCGTTCCTTACTAGAGGAAACATCCATTATTTCTACAGATTTTTCAAAAACTTCGACAGGCACTATGCGTTCTGGAAGCGATGACAATTACAAGCTGGTTATTAATGGAAAGGAAGTAAAATATGACAAATCAAAAAATGAAATGTCTATTAATATAAATGTAAATATAAGTAATAAATAGGATGTGATTGATTTAAGATTGTATTTTTCACTACTGTATAAAGTAGTACTTTATACAGTTCATAAGTGTGGATAAAACCTCAATTATAAGGTGATTGTGGATAAATTAATTTTAAATGTCATTATAATGAATTTGGTCGTTTTATTAATTTACAAACTTTAGAACACGCAGTTTTCGAAAAAATTTTATTTGAAACACGACAGCGAAATTTTGCAGTGTCATCTTGTCTCAAAAATAACTATTTTCGTATGATTTAAGCATAAATTAATAAAATTTCGTAAAAAAAACATGACGTTTCATAAAATTGACACTTAGTTTTGACAAATTGTTGTGAAGTTAGTTACAGTTGGTGACATTGAATTTGTGTCATCTTGACGTTTAAACTTTATTCCAAAATTTATTTAAACACTAAATAAGTGTTATTAATCTCAAGATGTAAAGAGTTAAAACTATAACTAACACTAGATATAGAACTAGAAACATTTTAGAAATTCTAGATTTAATTCTCTAAATATCGAAGCATTGGACACCATGGTTGAACGTATTTTACCGGAGATATCGTTAATTTACAAGAATCGGGCAAAATTTCATTTTTTGCCATTTTAACTGCATTGTTGAAACATTTTTTTTTAATAAAGAGGTGATTTAAATCTTCCTGGCACTAAGTATAAATATTAAATTCACTGAAATCAATTTTATTTTACCTGTTATACGTTGAAAATGAAGTACATATGAGGCGTGTAGTAGCAAAACTCGCCTTATCCAGTTGAAGTAAACTTGAGAAAATCAAAATTTTAAGTTTTGAGCAATAAATTTTAGGAAAACAAATATAAAACCCAAATAAATATAGCTATTACGTTATGAAAAGTTATCAACACTAGGTTCTCTATAATTGGTTTTTATCCAGTTTGAAAAAGAAACAGTAATTTTATTTGAATAAGGCAAGTTTTGCTGTGTTATGAATGTATAGCAAGTTTTGTTATACCACAATATTCAATCAACAGACGGTTTTCCTAAAAAAATTTATTTATTATTTATTTTTTTGAACAATTTTGAATAATGAACACTAAATTGAAAATAATAATAATCAAATATTTTAAATTCTTAACAGGTTATCAACCTCTTGTGGTCTCAGTTCACAAAAACATGCTATGTCTTCTTCTTCTTCTTCTTCTTTTAAAGATGGTCTATCTAAATCAACTACTAAAGGTATAAAAAAACTCAAGTCTTGTCTTTCCATCCACCTATCACCAAAATGTTTTCTTAAAAGCTCCCTGACGTTACCGACCTTTTTTTGATCCAAATCAACTCCCATTTCAATTTGATTTGGTGAGAAATAACTGAATGTTTTCCCTCTTTTTAATAATGACTTTGCAGTCCCAGTGTCAGAATTGTAATAAACCTCTCCACTAACAAGAATTAAATTTCTTTGACTTCTCGATAAAATAAATCTTTTTGCTTGCGAAAACTTAAAGTGCCACGCTTGAACAGGTTTCAAAAATTCTTTAACGCTCAACTTCCAATCTTTTACTTCACAATCCTTGCCCAGCTGCACAACAGTTCCATGCTCCTCAAAAATATTTCTATAAATTTTAGGATCTATAATAGTTGATTCTTTCTTTAAAATTTTTTCAATGCGACCGAATATCCTATCAGATGGGAGATATGAATGTCC